TTGGAAATTATCTTCAGACAATGCTGGCCACAAAAGTGAGATGATCACCATTCCCAAGAATTGGACATGACCGGACAGGAAAACTTTTATCTTAACAGTAATAAGAACAACTTATTAAGTGAAGCACCAGCCTACAATATCATATAATATCATACTTATTTGTGGCAATGTCTGTGGAGATTCTCAGCCATCCAGGTCACGGCTGTCCCAAAGGTGCTTTTTTTTCAAGGGGCAACTGGACTTGGTTTTCCCTTGAAGACGTTTCACTTCTCATCCAAGAAGCTTCTTCCGTTCCGAACTTCAATATTTGCAGCAATGTCCTCTTCACCAGCTAGGAAGGCAAAAGCGGTGGCTGTTGTTTTTTTCTAGTGAACCAAAGTCAGTCTTTTTTATTCTGTGATAAGAATAAACCTGGGAATGAAAGGAAAGCAGGCTGCTGATTTTTAACCGCTGAAGTTGAAAGGCTGATGCTCAGATGAGTTGAAATTGGACGACCTCCTGCTTGAGAAGGCGGTTGGACCAGAACAGGGGTCACCAACCTTTTGGACCTCAGGGACCACTAAATTCATAATTTTAAACCCCTCGGACTACTAATATGATCTGCCTAATGACTAGCTGGGTGGGTGTGGCTAGGTGGTCACGTGACTGCATGGACGTGGCCAACTCGGTGTCACTCATGTCGAGGGGGGTGCCTCGCCAGCCTCTACTCGCCCCTCCCTTCCCAGCCACTCCTGCCCACCTGGGCTCCTTAAGGCCCCAACAGGAAGCCGTTGTGGGAGCTAAGCAGTCACCGCAAGAAACAGTTGGCCGAACAGCTGGATCAGTTCAAATTGGATCTGGCCGAGAAGGAGGCTCAGCGGAGGCACCTCACTGAGGACTATGAGCATAGGCTTTCCAAGCAGAGAGAAGACATGCGGGAGTGCAACGCCAGGTGGTGGCATCTAGAGGCTCAGTGGGCTAAAATGGTCAGCCATTCCAGGCCGTGATGCAGTCCCACTGGAACGAGGCCCTCCAGCCTTCGCCCCAAACCCCACACCAGGAGGCTGAAGCAGACCCCAAGTCAGAAATTTCTGCCCCCCTCCAACTTTCACTAAAAGACCCCAAAGGGGGAGACTCTCTGCAGCGACACAAACATTCATTGCAGGTATCCGGCCCAGGCGCCATAGTTTGAGGGCCCCTGATTTTAGTGCAATATAAAAAAAACACATATAATTTTTCTGTGGACCATGAAGATTTTCTCGTGGACCACCAGTTGGTGACCACTGGACTAGAAGACCTCCAAGGTATCTTCCAATTCTCTTGTTCTCTGTTCCATGAGCACAAAAAGATCTTCACAGGTTTGTGATTTCATCTCTTGTTCTTGTTCTGTGGGGACGCAGTGGCCAGAATGCAGTACTGCAGGCTACTTCTGCTGCCTGCCGGCTGCCTGCAATTTGGCAGTTCAAATCTCACCAGGCTCAAGATTGGCTCAGCCTTCCCTCCTTCGGAGGCGGGTAAAATGAAGAGCCAGATTGTTGGGGGCAAGAGGCTGATTCTGTAAACCGCTTAGAGAGGGCTGGAAAGCACCGTGAAGCAGTATAAAGTGCTATTGGTATCGCTCCTGCTATTTACTTGGGAGGATAGCAAATTATTTTAGCCTCTCTTTGGAATGGACTTGGCTTATTTTCACCAAACAAGCATCCCGTCTCTGAATGGAATAAAGCCAATAATTGTTCTGGTCTTACCCCCCCCCTCCTCAATGTCCCGAATTCTTTTTTTAAAAAAAACGAGAACACCATTTAGGAAGCCTCTCGAAGGATAGAGTGGTTTGAAAGTTTTCAGTTCATTCCCTTTCCCCTTCTGGCTTCCTGCGAGAAAACAACGGCTTAATGTGGGCCGGCAGGATGCTGTTCAGAGAAAATATTTACTCCTTTTGAAGAAGGAAAAAAAAAAAAAGGAAGAAAGGTAAAACAGATCCTTCAAACAACAGCGTCCAGGACTGCGGGGCTCAACGGACAGGTTCTTGTCATCTGGGGCTGTTTAAGTCAACGCCCATGGCTCGGTTGTTTGTAAAACTGCTGAGATGGAAGCTTCACCCCCATCTGTTTGTTGACACTGACAGAGGCCCCCCTGGGATTCCCCCGCCCTCCCTTGCATTCTCAAGACCCCGCTCCCCTCCTTCTCCTGTCTCCATTTGTTGCTCTTCCCCGCTCTGTCATCCTCCTGGTTGAGATGTTACTTTCTTGACAAGCTTTCCTTGTGGCGCCTGGCTTGTACGGTTGGCTTGGCTAAGGGCGGGAGCGGAGAAAGCATCCATCCGCCTGTCCATCCATCCACCCCTCCCTCCTCTTCCCCAACAACCTCTCAATTATTTCTCTCTCTCTTCCCCCTCCCCACAATTAACATTCTCCTAACTTGACACGTCTTCCACCCACTCCCCCCCCCGGCCAAATTTTGACTCCGGCTATACTGTTTCCCCACCCTCTCTCCGCCCCTTCCATCTCCCTATTAATTCCAGACATTAATATTTTCTTTCGCGCAAGGACTGCCGCTCACCCGTGAAACAATTTGAACATTAGGTAGCTGTCAAGATGCCCAGGGATTACCCAGCATGCTTTGCAACCCTCCACCCTCCACCCCCCCCCCCCCCCCCGTAAGTGACACCACCGAGGGCCGCTTTGGAGATGTTTATTTGGAGAGGGAGCTGACAGGCGTGAAGACTTGATCCCAGGGAACCTATCTCATTTAATTAAAATACTCTTTCATTATATTTCGCCTTTCCCCCCACCCCTCCTTGCCCCAAAAAAAGAAAAGAAAAGGGAAAAGGCTCCTTGGGGTTGGGAGGGAGCCTTGTTTTGCAGGAAGGGAGCAGGGGAAGAGGGTATCCCGCCCAGCCGAAGCTGTGGTGTGGTCGGTGCTGTTGTGCGTGTGTGTGTGTGGTGCTTTATTTCCCTATTCAGGAGGAGAAATATTGTGGGGATTAGTTTGGTCTGTAGTTTGAAGATGAGATTTGTGGCATGGATCCTTCTCATTTCACTTAAGCAAACAAAAGAAAACAAAACAACGGATACGTTGTGCATTGAGGCCCCTTAATTTGACGTTGACTTTTCTTGCTGTGGCCTCTTTCAGGTGGTCCAACTCTTGTGGGAATTTTTGTGGCTTCTTTTAAAAGGGCTGGCACCTTCTCTTTATTAATGGAGTTCCTTTGTCAGTGCAAGCAACGGATGGAAACTAATCAAGGAGAGAAGCAACCTAGAACTAAGGAGAAATTTCCTAACCGTGAGAACAATTAATTGGTGGAAAGGCTTTGTCTTGAGAAGGTGCTTCACCACTGGAGGCTTTTAAGAAGAAGACTGGGCAGTCGCTTGTCTGGAATGGATTCGGGCCTCCTGCCTGAACAGGGGCTTGGACTAGAAGACCTCTAAGGTCCCTTATTCTGTTAAGCTGAGGCTCTGGGTATCTTCTCTCTGTGTCCCCTTTCTCTCTCTTTTCATACAATTTCTGTCTTCCATCGTTTTTTGCTTAAGAAAGGGGAGGAGTGTTCAGAATATTGAACAGGAATTAAGGAAAAGTTACCAGTCAGCTCTGCTCCTCTTGTTTCTGACTGGCCCCCCCAATTTTTCCGTTTGAAATGTTTGCTGCTAGGTACTTATCCAGTGGTTTTGCTGTTCTGCACTGTCCACAGAATCAGGCTGTATGTGTTGATCTTTTGTCTAATGTTGAATACAGGGGGGGGGGTGTCTCATTTTGAAGAAGACTAACTAACTTACAAAAGTTATTGCCTTAGTTGATGGGGGAGAGAAAAAGAGGGAGAGAGGGAGAGGGAGGGAGAGAGAGAGAGAGAGAGAGAGTGGGTGGGAGGGAGGGAGAGAGAGAGATAAAGGAGAATTTTTCCCATTTCTGGAAAGTGCCTAAGTGCCATATTGCTGTTTATTGCTTCATAAATTTATTTTAAGTCAGTGGGTTATCTCTTCCTTTAGGTGGCCTTGATAGACTTTGGGCCTAATGTATCAGATGAGGTTCTAGAAGGAAACCTCAGAACCAAAGGAAATCTGGACCCAAATAAGCATTAGTAATCTTCAGTTTGTTTATGTTTTATTTTTATTCCACCCTTGTTATTTTGATAAACAACTCAAGGTGACAGACGTATCTAATACTGCTGCGCCTTCTTATTTTCTCCACAACCAGAACCCCGTGAGGTGAGTTGGGCTGAGAGAAAAGGAGTGGCCCAATGTCACCCAACCTTCTTCCATGGCGAAGGCAGGATTAGAACTCATGTTCTCTTGATTTCTAGCCTGAGGCCTTAACCACGAGGCCAAACTGTACGAAAACCCTTGGAAAACTCTTTGAAAAGCTCATGGTTGTGTCTCTGAAGTCATCAGAATTTGAGCGCCACTGGGAGTCTTTATTTGCTGGCTAGAAAATATAATCTGTAAATATAATTTTGATTGGCACTTACAAGCTTGGATTGATAGGCTATCTAATGTAGGAGGTCTTTTACTATTGAAAGCCTTTTTCATGTTTCAGGTAGAAACATTGAGAAATACCTCCTCAGGGTGATTCCAGGGAGGAACTACTGCTACTACTGTGTTTCCCAGAAAATAAGACCCAACTGGAAAATAAGCCCTAGCATGATTTTTCAGGATGCTCGTAATATAAGCCCTACCCCCAAAATAAGCCCCAGTTAAGATTGTCAACCAGACAAACACATTTAGTCCTGTATTTCCTTGAAAATAAGACCTAGCCAGAAAATAAGCCCTAATGCATTTTCTGAAGCAAAAATAATATAAGACCCAGTCTTATTTTTTGAGGAAACACGGCATTACTGCTATTACTATTATTTTGTTGTTGTTATGATGTTTCATCACACAGTCAACCAGATGTTCAGACGATTTGGCACTTATTGAGTGCTTTCCAGGAACCTAGGATGATGATATTCATGATTTTAATGTGTACGCTGCCCAATTCTCCACAACCCCACAACTATGTTAACACAATCTTTATTTTGCTTTGCTATGAAGGTACAAGTGATCCCTATGTGAAGTTTAAGCTGAATGGGAAAACCCTGTATAAAAGCAAAGTGGTCTATAAAAACCTGAATCCAGTTTGGGATGAAACCGTTGTGCTTCCAATACAATCTCTGGAGCAGAAGCTCTGGGTGAAGGTAAGCCGTCTGTCCAACCGTATCAAATGTCACCATTTGTGATATTGTCCCTGCAAGCCAACTTGGCTGTGTGAACAAGAGGAGGGAGATTCCCATGAGGAGTCACCCATGCATTTTTAATTTTTGTTTGAGGAAGGGCTGTTACCTAAAAGAATCTTTCAAACGTAGGTAATTCTCTTGGGGGATGTTTACAGCCAGATGGCCCGCTTGAAGTGCAGCCTGTACAACTCCCTTCACTTCCTTTAAGGATGTCTTCAGAACATTGCAGGCTCCCTCCCTTCTGTCTTTCCAAAACAAAACCCCTCCCATGCAGTTTCCCTCCCTCCGTAAAACTGCGTTGGATTCCTTACCTGTATTTCCCATTGTTTCCTTATCCATGTTTTCCATAGGTGGAACCCCATATTGTCAGGTACAAGAAGTCAGGAACCAGGAGAGAGTTCGAAAGCGCTACAAACTTATTTCATGTTACCTTTACACGAGAATCTGAGTTGCTAATGGTCAAGGCAATTGGTACCAGATAGGAGTCAGTGGATTTCAAAGGAGGCTGGACTCAGGCCTCTTATGGCGGCATAGAAATTCCAAACTGATGATGCGTTTGACTCCCCCTTCACACTCAGCCTGGTCATCTCCTACACATACACATGTACCATGTCTTCTCCTGAGGACAAAATAAAGCAAGGGCAAAGCAGCCACTCATTCAGGGATACAACAGTGTCCTATGAACGAATCAACAGTTCCAGAAATAGACCACAGATGAAATAAACGCTGCATGCAGTGTTTGCAAATGTAATCCTTTGCTGTTGCTAATGCACTGTAGTCTTTCAGGAATACAGAATATACTACAGGTAATCCTCGACTTACGACCACGGGAGCCCCAAATTTCTGTTGCTAAGTTTGTTAATTTTAATCACTTTCGTTAAGTGCTTTTTTCCCCCATTTGGCGATCTTTCTTGCCGCATTCGTTAAGCGAACCCACTGAAGTTTTTAATTTGGTAACGTGGTTGTGAAGTGAACCTGTCCTCCCTGTTGACTTTGCTTGTCAGAAGGTTGCAAAAGGGGACCCTGCAACCGTCATAAGTATGAATCAGCTGACAAGCACTTTGAATTTTGACCGGGGGATACTGCAATGGTCGTAACTCTGAAAAATGATCGTAAGTCACTTTTTTCCAGTGCCGTTGTAACTTTGAACAGTCACTAAATGAACGGTTGTAAGTTGAGGATTACCTGGGGGGGGGGGCGGAATGTCCAGGATTGATTGACATCCAGATACACCGGCAAAAGCTCTTTCTTAAACCTCATCCACGGCTTGCTTTGCCCTGTCCTTGGTGGGACGCACCTCTAGAGAGTAGGGTGACCTTGTCATATTGAAACCGAAAGCCTTGAGAAACAGATGCTCCATAACCTTGAGATGGCCTCATCAACATCTGGTATAAACAAATCCTCCTTATCCTTGGTGGTTTTTGGCAAAGCCAGATGGAAGCATTCCAACTCTAAGATAAGCTAGACTTGTCCTTGGTAAATTCTAGTAGGATGAAACATGGGAAACAGATGTCAGTGAAGATGGCTAAGAGGCTATATCGAGGGTCTTCACACTTGGCAAGTTTAAGACTTGTGGATTTTAACTCCTAGAATTCTTGAGCTAACATACCTGGGGGAGGAATTCTGGGAGTCGAAGTCCACAAGTCTTAAAGCTGTCAAGTTTGAAGGCCCTTGGGCTATATCACATCTTCAGTGAAGACCTAAATGAGTGGGTGGTGGCTTTGAAGGAGACCATCTGCCATTATCTCTTGGGGGTTCCCAGATTGGCTAATGGGCTTACAATCTTTCCTTCCTTGCTGTGTAGTATTCTTCTATTCTTGAGTACTCGTGTTCTTTTCTTGTGGTGTCTTGGACTTGTTTATGGATTTATACTGCCTTCAATACTCCTATTGATGTGACCATTGCCTCTGAATCCAAAAGAATCCTGCTAAACTGGAGACAAAACACTGCTCCTGAGACCGAGAACTGATTCCTTTTTGGATTACGTTAATAGATGGTTCTGTTTCATTGGCACGACATTGAACTGAAAAAGACCAACCTGAAATTATTTTCAGACCATCAGATCTCTATTTTACATTCCGCTCCCTCTTCTCCTGTTCCATGTGTATCAGGTGTATGATCAGACTTGACTTCTACTGATTTTGTGGGTTCAGCAGTTGTAATGCTTCACAAAGTGGAGGTTGGCAGCCTCTTGGCTTCCCACACATCCATGGAGTGTCAGGGAAAGATCTCACCTTTTCAATGCCAGTGTACTATCTACCTGAAAACCTCTACTCTGTTTCAAAGAACTTTTTTTTTCTAACTCTAAATTAGGTGGAGACATTCAGAAAAATTTCTGGTGAGTGGTGTTGTGGCCTAGAGGTGGAGCTTTCGCCCCACAATCAGGAGGTTGTGCGTTCAATCCTAGGTAGAGGCAGATACTTCTCTCTCTGGGCACAATGAAAATATATCTGCTGAAAAAGAACTCTGCATTGGTGACAGGAAGGGCATTCGGCCAGTAAACTCTCAGCTCCATTCATTTGCAAAGCCTCCACCCCGCAAGGGATTATGAATGGATTAAACGGATGATGATTCAGAAGACTTTCTCTGTTTTAGTGTGTTTGGAGCTCCCTGTCTGAAGGAGGCAAACATGGGAAACTTTTGGGAACTTCGGGACTTTTAAGTATCTCTTGTCCCAAAACATGGACCTGCTTAGTTTCCAGAACTACAGTTGTAAAAATAAATAATTAGTAGCTTGTGGTGGCTTACTGGTAACTTGTACAAACCCCGCTTGGTTTGCAACAGATAAAAGGTGTCACTTGGAAAGGGCGAGGAAGTAAGACCTTGCCTTGTGAAAATATGTTGCATATTTTTGAGAACAGGTCAATAAGTGATAGCAACACAACAGCAACAACAAGAAACAGGCCATGATTGCAGAGACTGAGAACTTATTCTTGTTTGTTATATTCATCGTTGGTTCGGTTTCATTGGCAGACACTGAAATAATAAGACGAACCTGAAATTATTTTCAGATAATCACATCTGTGTTTTCCCCCACTTCCTCCCCCTCTTCTCCCGTTCCGTGTTCATCAGGTTTATGACAGAGACTTGACTTCTTCCGATTTTATGGGCTCAGCTGTCCTAATGCTTGACAAACTGGAACTGAACAGGTAATCTAACATTTATGTTTACCTTTCCAAATGCAGTTCTCCATTTCAGAGCACTTAAGGTGCTTGGTACTGTTGCATTCTATGCGGCTCGATGAATATTTGAGTCTTTTTCAGTGTTTTGCTCTTACATTAAATATAAGCCTTTTTGTCCCAAAGGTGCTGGACTTTCTGGTTTTTCTTTGAAGACTTTTTGCTTCTCATCTAAGAAGCTTCTTCAGGATGAGAAGTGAAACGTCTTCAAAGAAAAACCAGAAAGTCCAGTTGCCTTTTGAAAAAAACACCTTTGGGACAACCAAGGCCTGGATGACTGAGAATCTCCATAGACATAAGCCTTTTTGTTCCTACATTTCTGAACACTGCTAAAGAAGTTTTACTTCTAAATGTAGGACAAGAAATAATGGTTGGAAACTGATCAAGGAGAGAAGCAACCTGGAATTAAGGAGAAACTTCCTAACAGTGAGGACAATTAACCAGTGGAGGTTTTTAAGAAGAGACTCTGGACAGTCACTTGTCTGAGTTTGCATAGGTTCTCCTGCTTGAGCAGGGGGCTGGACTAGAAGACCTCCAAGGTCCCTTCCAACTATTCTATTCTAAATGTGCACAGTTCAGTATCGTGTTTCCACTAGGACCCTTCAAACAGTAGCTGGCAACAGAGAAAGAAGGTGATAGATTAGATTAATTGCAAGAAAATGGCAAAAAAAAGCCCATTCGATATGCTGGATTCACTTAACAATCATGTGACCTGCTTAAGGACTCGTGGTAACTCACTGTACAACCGTTGTAAAACCAGTCATAAAAGCGGGTCCTGTCATGTGGTGCCTCAATTTATGGCTGCAAGGATCTTAGGGTTGAAATTCAGGTCTCCATTTTGGTTGTAAGTTGAGGTCTATCTGTACTATCTTCTTCTCAGAGAGTTTTACTTCTGTTGCAACTAAATGGTAAAAACTGTTGAATTTTTCCTTTTCATTGGAGAAAGAATAACCTACTATCCATTTTTCTGCCTCCCCCCATTCCAATTTTTTTGGGGAAAATAACCCAAAGGTGCTTTGTCAAAAGGCAGCTAGACAATTTATTCATGGGTACATTTATCTCCAATAAACATTTGGATACATAGATTAAAGGAACTATCTCAAAAATGCTTTGTCAAAAGGCGAGTAGACTTTCTAGGGCTGTTTTTTTTCCCTTGAAAACTTCCTACTTCTCTTCCAAGAAGCTTCTTCAGTTTGAACTGGAGGTTTGTTGGATGAGAAGCAAAATGTCTTCAAGGAAAAAAACAACAACTAAGTAAGTCCAGTTACTTTTGAATAAAGCCCCTTTGGGGAAACCATGACCTGGATGACTGAGAATCTCTTTTTACCGGTCCATAGTAGAAAGCGTCCTCACATATTGCATGATGGTGTGATATGCTAGCTTGGCAGCCACAGAAAGAAAGACACTACAGAAGGTGGTAAGCACAGCACGAAACATCGCGGGCTGTTCCCCGATACCACTAGATGACCTCACTAGGGCTCGCTGCCTTAGAAGAGCGGGGGAAATCCTCAGGGACAACTCACACCCCGGTCAGCACTTCTTCACTCTCCTACCATCGGATAGGAGATAGAGAAGCAGAGCCAGCCACACCAACAGGCTGAAGAACAGTTTCTACCTGTGGGCTGTCAGACTCCTGAATGGAAAATAACTTCATGTCAACATGGTATGGCAGACTTGCAGGGCTGGCGCGTTGTGCAACAAGGTCACGTGGTGGAATAAGATTGGGACTGGGTGAGGGACTTCTGTCCTCACTGTGAGTTGTGTTGGGTGTGTGTGTGCACGAAGGGAGGCTCAGCCAATCTCACTGTACACATGTTGTGCTCTGACAACAAAGGTAATGATAATAATCTCCATCGACGCCTGTAAAGACTGCTTGTGCTCGACTCTAGTTGTTAGCTGTGGGTAATTTCCATTTCTTTCTTCCAGGACCATTGAAAAAATCCTAAATCTGGAAGACCCAAATAGCTTAGAGGATGATATGGGTGTGATTGTGCTGAATTTAAGGCTTGTTGTGAAGTCATGCGATATTAAAAGAAATGTAAGTAAGACTATCAGAGCCATTCTGGCTTTCCTGGTAGGAAGGAAGAGATGGACACGGGGCCGGCATCGGGGGTTGTGTGTTGTGGTTGCCAGGCAAATTCATACTATAGTCATACCTCGGTACTCATCGTTACGATGAGTACCAAAAACAATGAGCACCAAACAAATTTTTCCCATAAAGTATTTGGAAATATTTACTTGGCAGCTCTCCAAGCTAGATAAGGCCTGTGCTCCTAATTACACCCTTAAAAGACTGTATGCCAGGCCTTTGGCTAGATGTGAATGTAAGAAATTCACCTTCATTTAATAAAAGGGATTTTGCCAGAACAAAGAGTCTGCTTAGTGCTTTCTGGGGAAGCCTCGGTCAGAACAGTACCAAAGTACCATTGTACATCTATTGGGATCCAGTAAGGAAAAGCCACTGCTTGTCACTGCCTTCCTAGTGGCTTCATGAACACATCTGTGTAGTTTTCTTGGCAACAGCGTGAAGACATTTACATTTTCTTCCACAGCCTAATTTTAACTTCCCTGCATATCCCAAAGAGATATAAATACTGTATATGAGATTTGCCGGAGCTCTTTTCATCCAAATACCAACTAAATACGATGCTGCTTAACTTCTCATGCCAGATAAAATCCATCAGGCGCTTCATCCTGCTCTGGGACAGAGTTGATATCGCTGAACTGAAAGTGTGAACGAATAACACAATTGGAAGGTTTTCTGATTCAAAGAACGCGGCTGTGGATGTAAGGCGAGGAAGCATTCAGCCCTAGCATAGAGCTAGCCTAAGTATCTCTCTCTGCGCCCAGAAACTGCAGGTGTTCGATGTTTGCAATATTTCGTAAGCCGTGGTCTTTTTTTCCCAAGCTCTGAGAAAACCCATTATAGTTGGATTCAGACTATTGGGAACAGAATATCGCTCATGTGGGTTGCTCCGCTGCAGGATATGGGGAGCCATTTTTAATATTTACCTACTACTATAATGTTCCAAGCTCCCCGAGTAGCAGTTTCGAAGGTTCTTACATTCCAAAACAGCGTGGAAACAGATGCTGGAGAGAGGTAGTAAAAAGGATTGGTGGGAATTGCCGATTCTTCAGTGACACATCTGCACTGAATTGTAGTCCTATCATTTATGGAGGAGGTGGTTCAGTCAGGTGATTCCAATGATTGCAGCCAGTGAAAAGAGGTCAGCGCTCATCATAACATCCCATATTTATAACCAATTCAAAAGCTCGGACAAATGAACAGGGATTTTTAAAATCTAGCTCTCACAAGACAGCCAGGTTAGATTGTCGCCACTGAAAATTACTCACCTTCAATCACTCCTTCCCATGATTCATAAAAGGTTTTGGAGCAGGACATGGATAGCAACCACCCCTTTGTATGCTGGTCTAGTCAAATAAAGGTAAAGTTATTGTCAATAACTCAACCTGTGAGGTAAAAGATTTTCTGCTATCCCTCACCAGAATAGACTCCAAACTTGGAGAGCCATCGAAATGAGGTAGAAGTGTGAGGAAAACTTTCCTGACAAATGTCTTATGTTTGAGAGTTGATGGTCTCCCTTGAGGTAGGATTCTACTGTCAAAGTGAAGAATTTAACTTTGTGGAACTCCAATGTCATATTTATTGGCTCGCACTATGGGACAGCTGGCGAGCGGCCTTGGACTTTTCTGTTGGATACAATCATATTCCCTTTTCAGTTCTTTACTTCCACAGAGATAAAAAATCCTCAATTCTCCTTCAATCTCTACTTGTACAGTCGATTCCAAATTGATAGAAGAGAATATTTATAAGTCAGGGTTGAACTGTTGGGGTCCTTGGTGCTCTCTGAGCTTGGTGGTTTTCTTGCAGATGCTTCATTACTGATGGTGGTGCACTGATGATGTTATCTAGCTGGGTAATGAAACATCTGCAAGAAAATTTACCATAGTTGTTCTCCTTTCCTCCATAATCTTTCTCCTCTACTCTCCACACACCCCATTCCCTTCTAGCACTGATGAAGTTAGCTAGTTGGATAATGAAATGCCTACAAGAAAACCACCAAGCAGAGAGAGCACCAAGGATCCCATAGTCGTCTTCTTCCTCCTCCTCCTCCTCCTCCTCCTCCTCCTCCTCCTCCTCCTCCTCCTC